CGCTGAGGTCACCTCCTTATAACTAACAGTAGTTCTTCCATTAATCATAGTTAGGACAAACGTACCAAAATCATCATCTGGCAACGAACACAAAAGTAGCATCGCCTTGTCTTCATCCTCAACCATGATATCCACATTAGCCATGTCTGAAAGTAGCTTTGTGAAGTTATTAACATGCTCCCTAATGGAAACTCCCCTCTTCATCTTGAACTGGTAAAACCTCTTCTTCAAGTGAAGCCGATTCTCAATGCTCTTAGTAAGATACTTTTCATTGAGTGTTTCCCACATCTTCTTCGCCGAAGTCTCGTTCATCACGTCATAAATAAGATCCGGCGTCAAGCATGACCGAATAACTCCACACGCCCTACTATTCATCTTCTTCCAAACCTTAGCTTCCATCTCGGCAGGTTTCTCTTGTAACTCAAGAGTCTCCTCCAAATTCTGAGCGTCCAAGGCGTCCATCACCTGACACCTCCACAATCCGAAATTAATCTTGCCGTCGAACTTCGGAACATCAATCTTCATGTTATTGATGCTCAAACTATGTATCGTCTTCGTAAGAGACGATCCCGATGTGCTTGTTTCACCCATATTGTCGATCTAATCTTCAAATAAGAATCCTTCAGCGAATCCTTCAAACAAGCTCCCAAGTCCAACCCGGAGCTCTGATACCACTTGTTGTGCGCAGTCGAGGGATCCTACAAGCTATTACAAATCACGACAAGAACACAACTTTTACGTGGTTCGGCAAACTGCCTACGTCCACGGGGCAAGGAGGGGGAGATCTACTATTAGAGGGAGAGATACAATTGGGGTTTACAATCACTCAATCTAAACCCTCACACAAACTCTCAAATCCCTCACACAAATAATCTCTCAAAGGGGATACACAAAAGGACTTCTGTAGCTGCAAACAAATCTCCTGCGCTCTTTTCTTTCTTCTGCTTTTGCAAACCTGCAGCCGCCAAAAGCAATCCCCGGCCTTTTGCACTGTAGCCGCTCCTTTTTAATTGCACGCCTCCTTCGCACAAAATCACACAAAAACCCTAGGAAGCTATTTATATAGCTTCGGGTTCATGAAATCAGGTTCGTGGGCTTTGGGCTTCTTAATCACGCGGAAACAAAAAACAGCCGGCTTCTTAATCACGCGGAAACAAAAGCAGCAGCACGTGGGTGGGGCCACGTCCGCTCACATCATGCACATACATATATATGCTAAAACATGCATGCATGCATGAACTTGTACTTTACATGTACACATACACGCACAAGCACATGCACATTGCACACGTATAGGAGTGCGCCTGTAGGGATTTTTAGATCTCGCAAAAATCCCAAAAAAGCCATCAAACGCAGCAAATAAAATCACAAAAGATTTAACGTGGAAAACCCTCAATAGGGAAAAACCACGGGATCAAAATCAATCCACTATCACCTCCAAATTATAATCTTTTGTACGGACAAAGACTGCCAAACCCTCTCTCTCTCTCTCATTCTCTCTACACTTCTTCTCATTCTTCTTAGTTTTTCCTCTAACAATAGAATGACATATATAGGGAAACCAAAACTCTATCTCTAACCTAACTTCCTAATTAGAATAAGATTCAAACTCCTAATCATGATGGAACCCAAACTCCTAATCATGATAGATCTCTAATCCTATCTAATTCTCATGAAGTTATACAAAGAATTAAAAATACTATACTAACTTGGAGTTTGAGTTGATACTCAACATATCCTCCCTCAACGAAAAATCTCCAAGTGTCTTAACGGCTTCAAAAAACTCACTCTCTTCATCTTGTTCTTCACCTCTCCATTGTGGACAAGAGTCTGAGAAGAGTAACCTACACTATTAACGGATCGCCCATCTAAATAGCAAATATGGTTGATATTCTTCCTCCCTGGCAAAATCAAATCATCATCTCTATACACATTGCACCACTCTCCTTCACCCACATACTTGTACCCACGTGATGCCATCTCACCCAACAAAATTAAATTAGCACCACATGACGACACATATCTCACATGATGAAGAATTCCGACCTTTCCAGTGTGAAGTTTGAGGCGAACACTTCCAACACCTTCAACCTTCATCTTCTTGTTGTTTCCAACAACCACGTCGTCAAATTCTTTATCTGTCTTCAATGTGTTAAAATATTTTTTGTTGTTACAAACGTGCATAGAGGCTGCAGAATCTAACACTCAAGTGTTACTCACATCAGTACATGTACTCTGAATCAATAAAACCACATCTTCATCACACACAACCACCGAGGAGTCCGTCTTCTTCCCATTTTCTTAAAGTTTTATCTGTCTAATATTTTTTAAATCATCACGCATCTAGGAACATCTGAACTTAATCTGATCTTTCTCTCCGTAATAATAGCACTCCTTTTCGCTGTCATCTCGGGCCCGAGATTTTGACCTTTCTCGATAATTATCACATCTCCCCTTACTTCTCTCTCGAATAGAACATTCAAAAGCTAGTGCATTCTCATCATCATTAGATGCGCTCTCCTTTCTCATCATTCTTTCATTCTCACGTAGGAGTGCTGTCACATCGTCGAATTTTAAAGTCTGTTTCCCTATAATTATCGTCTGAACTAACGGCTTGTACGACTTCAGCAAGGAAGACAATAGGAGTAGCGCATGTTCTTCTTCTTTAATCTCCTCATCAATATTCATAAGTTGGCAAACTAGCTGATTAAAGGCATTGATATGGTCTTGAATTATCATACATTCTTTCATCTTCAACGAATAAAGCTCTATCCTCAAACACAATCGATTGGTCATCAACTTCGATGCATAAATCCCCTCGAGCCTTTCCCACGACCCTCTTGGTCTCTTGCATAATATTATACTTGATCTCGGGGGCGAGTGTCGAACAAATTGTGCTAACCGTCCTCTTTTACATAGAACTCCATTCAGCATCCTTCAATCCTTTATGTTTCTTATCCTCTAAAGCTTGATCAACACCCTGCTGCATAAGAATATCTTGAACCGTGCACTGTCATACTGTAAAATTTATCTTGTCATTGAATAGCGGAATATCAAACTTCAGACCCGAAGAAGTCATCATCCTCTAACTGCAATCAAAATTCAAATTAGACACTGTAGAGATTAAATTTGATAAAACCGACGTAAAAAACGAACTCAGCACGTCGAAAAACCTAGGAACGACTCGTGGATCACCAAAATCCGTCTCCAAATCCTCGATCAAAAGACAAATCAACCCCAACCGTCGGATCTGTGTGAACAGTACCCACTACCGATATACAAGACACTTGCACACACTGTATTAATGTATGCGTGTACACAGTAATTCACACACCCACAAGAATACTTAACTATGCACATAGTATTATGAATGTAGATAGCACGCATCGCTACTGCTGCATCCCCACTTCTACTTATCTATGCACACACATATGGATTCACGCGCACAAGAATTAAAGAAGAGGGGAAAAAAAATCACCCTTATGTACTTGGTCATCTAATTGTATTAAATATAAAATCTTAATTTGGTCTGGTGAAGTACTGTTAGACTAAAAGGATTATATTTAATTAATTTGGATCTGGAGAAGTAGTGTTAGATTTGCTGGTTTAATTAGGTGACAAATATATTGGAATTTTTGGCTTTTTACTAGAGAGAAGATCACACATTTACATAGGGAAATGTGCTGATTAATCTGGTTCAAATTAAAGAAGGCTACTAAAATTTTCCTTGATGGCAACTTGATTTCAGCCTAATATTTTCTAATAAAAGTTGATCCCAATGGGGATAGTGTTCTATTGAGTAATTGACATCTTGTATTTATTATTATTTATTATAAACGAAAAGTAAAAAATATACATTAATTTGTTAGAGGTTAAACGTGCTCCCAGTAATCAGTTGACCTGACCTGTACATGTGATAAATCACTTTACTATGATTTTAGTTCATGGCGCAAATTATTTACATAACAATAACAACATCCACTCCTTTTTCACCTAGGGAATCAATCTTCTTCTGAGAACTGTTGCCCATCATTTATCAAGCAAAATATAGCGGAGATTTTGAATCTAGTAATCTCTCATTAATACCTCACTCCTGGTTTTATAATTTCTGTGACTGATGCAGCTTTAACCAAACCGGTAAGATTAAGATACGATTGAGTAGGAAATATATTGAGAGGACGTCAAATGAAGCGAGTCGCCAGTTGGAGAAAAATCTAAACGGAGAGTTCAAGTCTAGTTAATATAATCCCATTTGACTTGATATTCTAACGTAGGCAACATACTAATGCCGAATGTTCAACTTTTTTTTTACCTACCTCAGCACACAACATTAGACACAGCCTAATTAACACAATCACTGTAGCGCCCCTTGAGTACTCCTATCAAATAGAAGCTCACGTATTTCTCACGAGTCAAAACCTTCATGTTTCATAGCCTTAATCAAATAGAGGGACTGGGAGAGATCTCCCACAAAAGATCGATGGGTCACATCCAAAAAGTTGAAAAGGAAACACACCCAATGGTAAAAGGATCAAATTTAATGGAAAAAATTCCCTTGCATCCAAAAGTCACTACACCAATCAATCCATGCACCTAACTAAAACTCCAATTGACTAAGGCCATGTTAGGTTGCATAATAACAATGCTGAAAGCGTGATAAAAGCCTGACTTTTGCCAGGCTTTAAGCCAAAATCGTCTTTTTAAGAGGCGATTTTGGCTTAATTGTCAGGCTTTCAGGCTTTTTCTTTTACAACCAAACGGGGCCTAAACTCATTTTAGAGGTAAGCCCACATTAGGTGACCCGATCCCAAGTTCCCCAAGAGTAGCATACAACAACGATACCAACAAATAACCTATAACTTTATTAATATATATTTGCTTCTCCAAATTAATTACATTCCCACGCAAAATACACCGTATCGTGGCAATACCAATAACATAGCTAGAGCCAATGCATAGATAGGACGAGAGGCCGTTTAAAGACGGCCATCCATCTAGAGAGAGAAATTAGAGAGAGAGAGATTTAGAGGCTCATTGCTCGATCTCTAATGACTCTAATTGAGAGCCGGCCAAGATAAAATTAGCCAATTGGCTAAAGTTCCAAAAAAGTGCCCTCTGCCGCCCCCACACCCTTCTATTGTTTCCCCTTTAAAGCTCTACGCTCTTCAGGACTTAGTCATCTCTCTCCCCCCCTAGCCTCTCTCTAAAACAAATCTCTTTTCTTCTCTCTCTCTCTCTCTCTCTAATATCTTAATTTGGTTAATTAAGAGCTAGCTAATGGCAAAGAGCAAGGGCACCAACAATGAGAACAGCAACGGTGACAACACCGTTAACAACAATGGCGCTAAAGTGAAGAGAAAGAGGAAGAGTGTACCAAGAGAATCTCCTTCACAACGCAGCTCCATTTATAGAGGAGTCACAAGGTTTATATATATATATATATGATTTCTCTTTTCGATTTTTTTTATTTTATTTTATTACTTCACTGTTTTTATTTTTTTGAATTGCGTACTGACCGCTATCGATATAGGCATCGATGGACGGGGCGATATGAGGCTCATTTATGGGATAAGAATTGTTGGAACGAATCTCAAAACAAAAAAGGGAGACAAGGTTCTATAAAATTTTTTTTTCTTATTTTCCGGTGTTTTGTTTTCTACATAATCAAATTTTGGTTTAATCAAGTTCTAATTATATATGTTTGTTTTTTTTCTTTTCCATTTGGTTGGCGAAATCCAATCTATACAATGCAGTTTATCTGGGTAGGTTTGATTCATTGCTTATATATATTATCTCACTAGATAATTTCCAATTTTGTTAATATTAGTTTTTTTTTAATTTTGAAAAAAATAAATTAATTTACAGGTGCGTATGATGATGAAGAAGCTGCAGCTCATGCCTATGACTTAGCTGCATTGAAGTACTGGGGCCATGACACCATACTCAACTTCCCGGTACCATTAATTTTTTCTTTTACGTGTTTTTCCACCTTTTTTGCATTAAATGATTCACATGTTCCTTTATTATTGTTGCCTAAAAATTTACTACTATCTTAAACATTTTTGTTTAATGAAGATATATAAAATCAAGTAATTTGTTAACTAATTTTCAGTTATCTACGTACCAAGAGGAGCTCAAGGAAATGGAAGGGCAGTCGAAAGAAGAATATATTGGGTCCTTAAGGAGGTAATTAAGGGAAAATTAACTTAAACTGCTCATACTATATCTCAATTAGTATGATCATATGTTTAGTAACCATATGTTTAATATTGCAGGAAGAGCAGCGGATTCTCAAGAGGAGTATCAAAGTATAGAGGAGTGGCAAGGTATTAATTTTCAACTTTTTTTTTTGATGAAATAAAAAATATATAAAGTTCAATGAAAATTAAGTTAGAATAGAAATGTTGTTTTTTGGGCTTTAGTTAGGTATGATTTGGTAAACGGTAGTGGAATCTTTGGAATTATTCCTAATCATCCATAGTAATCAAATTATAGTGGATAAGTTTTGACTATTAGTGCTTAGGAGTACTAGGGTTTGTTGAGATTTTAAGGTGCGAGCTTTGACAAATTCTTCCTTTATTGTAGGTTTCGGTTCTTCATAGTTGGTTACCTTACCTACAAATGTTCTTGTTTGTTAGGAATACGAATTATATCTCATCCTCACTTTTGTTGTGTACCCTCTTTGATTAGTTGATCTTTTCTAGTAAGGAATCTAACAAAAAATCTCATATAATATCGGATAAAATGATATGACCTATACCATACATGGGTGGTTAGAGTAGTGACTATTCAATAAATAGTGTAAATCACCTCCTTTCTCTGGGGATGGTTCTGATGAGATCCTTACTGGATCTTTTCTAGTTCTCGTTTGATGAAATAAACTAATAACTTGTCATGTAAGAGCTATGGAACTCAAATCTCATTTAATTCTTTTAGGGACATTTTTATGGTGACAAAAAAATATGAATAAAACAACAATATTACTATAAGTAACAAAATTCGAAATAAGTACATATACATAAATCATAGTTTAATATTTTGAATAACATAATTTATTTTAAAATCTTTTGTAATTTTTTCAGATTAACTTTTTATTGTTTAATTTTGACAAGAAGTTTTTTATATTTTTTTATTTTAACTATGTGCAGACATCACCACAATGGAAGATGGGAAGCAAGAATTGGTCGTGTATTCGGCAACAAGTACCTATACCTTGGAACATACGGTATATAAAAAATATATATATATCTTTATGAGCATTTCCTATATCCTTTTATAATTTTCAATAACAAATATATTAAAATTTTATACTCGTTGACATGAAAAATTCTATTCGGAATATTTCGGAGTCTGTAGTTCCACAAGAAAACAAATAATTATAATTGGAGGATCTATATATGCATGAAAAGCTACGTGTGAGAGAATTCAATTATATGTATCTAAATAGCCAAGTCCCTGAATTTGGATGACTTATGGAAGCCATGGATTTGATTCTCCCTTAAGCTTATTGCTAGACGGTAGGAGAATCCCATATCCAAAAAAAATTGAAGTTAGAAAGAACCCTTGGAATCAAAATAGAATTTTCACCCCTTTTACTGAAAAACAGCTCTTAAATGCAACTACATATGGAAAATGAAAGATATGTAAGCCAACTATTATGACCTCTTAAATGGGCTATAAAAACAATTCTAAACTACTACAATATTGTTGCTCTACATTGTCTCTTGCACTGTTGTCCATCTACTTAATTATATTTGGTAGCTTCATATGCAAAAAAAGAAAATAAAATAATACCACGTTGATTTAATTAGGTTGGGCAATTAGGGCCCCATTAACCTCCTCACTTTAAATCTTCCATCGAACTATTTCAAGTAGTACCGGCCCATCGGGGATCTATCGATCAGGATAGTCGGGTGGATTTGCTTCCTGATCAACGGTCTCAAGTTCGAATATCTTGTCTGCTTTCTTGGAATTGGAATTAATGAATTTGAGATGTTCACGTACAATTTTCAAAGATTTTCTTGAAAGAATTGAGTCCTCCTGATCATGATGAGGGATTTTCTTAGTTCGGTTTTTCTATAGAGTGCCCATGGGTACTCTATAAGAGAGGAGAGAGATAGAGAGAAATGAATAACTCATGCCCCCTGATTTGTATTAATTTCTGTGCATAATTCATTTCTCTTTTTCTCTCTCCTCTCTTATAGAGTGCCAAAAACCGTTAAGCAATAGGAACTATTTCAAAGATATTTATCAGTGAGCTATAGGAGAATCCAAGTCAATAAAATCTAGTTAGTTAGAAGTAGGAAGCAATAAAAACCTACCAACCTCTCAACTGTTCTTTGCACCATAGTTTTATGGTAACCTACTGGCATCCCATCAAAACCCAGTCTTACGGTAAGCTACTAACAACCAGCGAGTGCTTGACATTATTGAATTCGTGCCTTTTGTTAAGTTCTTTTTTGTTTTAATTGACATCAACCATAGCAGCTCATTATTGCTCAATTACTTCCAAGAGTCCAGAGAAACAATCAGGTGGTTCGCATCTAGTACTCAGTTAATGATGTTCCAAAGTACACACACACACAGAGGGGGAGAGAGAGAGAGAGAGAGAGAGAGAGAGAGAGAGATTACTCAAATTGTGTAATTAGAACCTGTTACAATATAAAATTATAACTCTCAATCCTTATTACAACTTCAGGGATTTGGTACAGTGGTATTATCCTTTGATCCTTTGACGGGACATAAAAAGATAGAAAACTCAAACTTTGATTAGTAAACTGATCCAAGCATTTATCCCCTTGACAGTAATTTACTAGATAGTTTCTCCCGGCTTTTACTTATATATATAATGTGGCCTATAATTGAACAGGTTTAGAGTACAGGTTTTAAGGGGGGGCATATCATGTGGTGCTCAAAAACCATTCTAAAGTTTTTCATGTATTCTTGCTAGGTGACCAAAAACTCCCCTAAATTAAGTTCCATCTTGAAATATGCAATATGTGTGCTCAAATACTTTAAGCATTTCGATAATTGCAGTCAATAAAACTCCTTAATTAGCATCTAATAATTGATCCGTTTGATATCGGCTGCAGCAACTCAGAAAGCAGGCCGGCACGCCTACGACCATGGCGGCAATCGAATTACCGCGGCCTCAATGCAGTCACAAACTTCGATCTTAGCCGATACATAAAATGGCTCCGCCCTAACCCCGAAAACCCTAGCCCTACTCTCAACTCTATTCCTAACGTTAACCCCGTTGACGATCACGATTTCACGTTCCAACCTCGACAACAACAACAACAACAACAAAACAAACAGCTGCAACTGCATTCACAACAACAGAATACTGCAGATATCCCCTCATCACTCCCACAGCCTCGTCCGACCCCAAATGCGTCATCTGCCCTCGGCCTCCTCCTCCAATCACCGAAATTCAAGGAGATGCTCGAGAGGACTTCGGCCATTGGTGGGCCATCGTCACCGCCAGAGTCAGAAAATAGACCGTCCAGGTGCAGTTTTCCCGATGATATACAGACTTACTTCGAGTGTCATGATGTTGGCAGCTCCGCTGACGGAGATGAAGATGCCATATTTGGAGATCTTAACACTTTTGTGTCTCCGATATTTCAATGCGAGCTTGATGCATGAAAGCTGCGTTATTGCAGACGTATCAATATTTCTTTCCTATAAAGAATTATATTCATTGATCTCTTCCTCCTCTTTGTAGGTTTTGTGAATAGGAGGCAATGGGGGAGAGAGAGAGAGAGAGAGAGTTGATATATATGTTTAGGACAAAGTTGCTGATGATTGGTTTATTTGTTTTTCACAAATAATGTAGATAGATATTTGTTATGGCGAATTCTTCAAATGAGGAATTATATATGGGAGATTGATTAATAAGTTATTTTGGATTTTTATAACAATATATGTAGAGCATTGTTATGATCATTTAAATGTTAGTTTTCCTCGCTTTACATGGGCTGTTTAGTAAATTTTATCAAATAATGGAAGGTTTCAAGAAAAAGAAATGCGTCGCTAAACAGAGTACTGGAAAATACAAACTATATGTACATCTTATTGAGCGACAGTTCATTAAACAATTAATGTCGTAAATCGAAAGTAATTAAGCGTCTAGTTTTCGATAGTGAAGAGAGTCCAACTCTTCATTTAATTTCTCTCCTGTGCATTTATAAATCTTGTCTGCATATGCATGCCCTTTTCTTTGTCATCAATAACAAAGCAAAAATACATAGAACATTCAATTATCATTTACAATGACTTTTCCTTATATTTTCTTTGCAAATGAAAAAAAGTTAGAAGCTAATATAGAATCGCCTTAAAAGGGAAAATTGTAAGATTCAACTTAACAAAATCTTAATCACACATTTTATGGTAAAAGTATAAAATTATAACTCTGAAAGGAGGGATCTAAAGATGCACAAACGACTACTCTAAGGTTAGACTCATGTACGTATACCTGAATAGAATAATGTGTATCATATGACATGAGAGTACCCATGTACAAAAACGTGATGAAGTAGATTAAGAGATTATTTTTTCTTTTACTACTTTTTTTTTTGAAGAAAAAAACAGGGCCATAAGCCCTATTCATGTATATATATGCAAAATATAAGGAGGGTAAGAATTTACATAAACAAATCTATGGAAGGTGAAGGTAGGAGGGACAAATGGAAGATGTGAACTACCGAGAGAGGGCCTTGTCGTCACCAATAAGGAAACATCTTCATTGTTCCGACCCACTTACCAAAAGGAAGAACAAATAAGACAACAAAATGGATAGTCTCAGGGGAATGAAACAGACAACAACAGAAAGGTTCATTATAGAACAAAAGGAACCCTAGAAGTGGGTTTCGGCCTGCTAGCTGCAGGAAGAACCTGCTGAGAAACTGAGAGGTCAGGGGGGCTGTTGCTATCTTCACTTGATTCCAGAATGTCTGGGATGCCCGAGGAGTGGAGGATATGCTTCAGTTTGATGGACTTCTTGGAGGCTGATGCACCTGTCCAGAAAATAAGAAAATTAACCGATTTGTTGATAATTTGCTGGGGAGTGCTGAACAAGTTGGAGAAGATGCGGTCATTCCTAGCTTGCCAAATGACACAACAGATGGTTGGAAAACATATTCTCCAAAGATGACGAGCTGAAGATCGGATGGATGAGTCATAGCAGATAGCTAAACACTGCCTGATGCTTGCTGGGAGAGGGCCTATATTTAACCTAGAGAGGAATGGAGCCCAAATCTGATTGGTGAATGCACATTCAAGGAATAAGTGATCATAGGATTCCTGGGAATTGCAGAAGGTGCAAGAGGAGTCCCCTAACCATCCTTGATTAGCTAATATGTCCTTGGTCTTTAGTCTGAATAAACTCAAGAGCTAGAAGAAAATTTGAACTTTACTTGGAAGCAAATTGTTCCAAATGATAGCATTGAATTGGTGGCGCAATCCTCCGTCTGCAAGAATTGAGTATAGAGACTTGACAGAAAATATGTTAGAGGAGGATATAGACCAAGATGGATTGTCCGCTGCAGTGGAGGGCTACAAATTGCAAGCTGCCAGAAATTGCAAGAGATGAAGCACCTGACTTCTATCACATTCGTTAATAGGGCGCCTGATGATGGGTTTCCAAGTCCAAATATCCCCCTGATATCTACCATGGGAACAAGTGGGGACATGTTTGGAGAAGGCAAGAAGGTAAGCCTTCGGAAAGAGGCTGGCAAGGGAGTTAGGCCTCGTCCATTAGTCTTCCCAGAAGAGGATCTTCGAACCATTTCCAAGAGTCCAATTAACGAATCCAGAGAAGAATTGATAGCAAGAAAGGACATCTCTCCAGAATTTGGAATAATGAACAGGATTTGGATTGTGGAGGTTGGATGGATATAAGGATTGGAGAACCCTTCCAATATGATTGTTGTTGTCGAAGAATTTCCAAATCCATTTAGAGAGGAGGGAAATATTGAAGAGATGAAGGTTGAGAACTCCCAGTCCTCCACAAACCTTAGGAGAGCAAACAGCCCCCCATCTGACTGGATTATTGCTAGCAATGTGATCAGCAGATCCTCCCCACAGGAAGTTACGTCTAATTTTGTCAATATTTTTGATGAGCCATGAGGGGAGCTTGAAGAAGGACATGTAGTAGAGCGGAACGGAGGAGAGGACTGATTTAAGAAGCACCAATCTGCCACCAATCGACATATGTTTGCTTTTCCATTGGAAGAGTTTACGGTTGAGAGAGTCTAGAAGAGGTTACCAATCGGCTCTAGATAAAGAGCCTCTTATCAAAGGGAGACCGAGATATATAAAAGGAAGAGTTGCAAATGAGCAGTTGAGGATGTTGGCCAATAGTGTCCCCTTAGGAGAAGATTTGCCACTATAGTAGAGGTTGGATTTAGAGAAGTTGATGGCAAGACCAGAGACTTCTTCAAATAGGTAAAGGATAGACTTGAGGTTGGAGATGTCAGAGGAGGTAGCTTTACAGAAAATAAGAGTGTCATCTGCGAATTGTAATGATTTGATGTCATTGAGCATACCCTTTGTTGGCCTTCTTGCTTTGATGATGATTTACAAACAATTTATTACTAATGTTGTTTGTCTAGTGTTTGTGCATTCCTATGTATTGTAGACAAACAACGTAGTTGGAGGATGGAAGGAATAGAGCTTCAACGATCATATCCAAAGGAGGTTGGCGGAATGTCGGTGAAGCCTTGCTATTCAAAGTTCAAGATCCAAGTTCAAGCTTCAT